ACACTCATCTCTGTATTTATGTTTTGTTTTTATTATGAAACAATCCAACAATAAATTTTACTTCAATAAAACATCACAGTCAAAATGAATTGTTATAAATATATAAAAAAATAAGCATCCCACAGTATTTCTTTTATCTTTATACAGTAGATTGTTTAGTAAAACAATCTTTTATTGTAATTTGAGACTGAGGACAGTCTCATTTTTAAATATTTATTGTGTACTATTAAATGTTGGCTTTATTTCTTTAATACATTTGTGTGGAAACTTATCTATATATAAGTATTTTCCTAATCTTAACAATACAATTATAACTCTTGTTCTAGCAAGTTACTAAAGCTATTGCCAATTATTCTTATCAACTCATTAAAACACTATGAATCGTTTCATCTTTCTCACCTCCATCTGAACCATTCCTGGTCGCTGCGTTCTCAAAGTCCGGACCGTTTGGAAAAGGTCCACAACTCCTTCGTACTGCATCTTCTCCAGGACAATACTGAGAGTAATAAATACTCCAGTGCGGCCTACTCCCAAACTATAATAAAAACAACATTTAACAGAAAACAACTGCTTACTAGTTTCCAGTCAGTTTACCAACTTGTGTACAGTAGGAAACATTTACAGTAGGTTTCAAAACTTCCTCAAATAAAAAACACACGGTTGGTTCATTCATATATATCAATCCTTTTAGTTCCTTTGCATAAAAACACCTAGTTCTTCCATTAAACTAACTGTGACAACTCCAATGCATAAAGAGCACAAGTGATTCATATTTTCACTGTTTAAACCACAGACTATGAATAAGCTTTAAAAGATTTGTTTAATGTAATTGCTTTTAACAAATACTATAGCGTTTATACTCTTTTAATTTACATGTATGACTGCACAAGGTATATTTTGCCTACTTATACATTCCTAGAAAATTTTGTAAGTGTTCAAAAACGAAAGATTATTTCAGAAGTATGTAAATACTTAAGAGGATTTTTGCCAAAGCAAATTCACAATGTGTTTGAGAATACTTGAATGTACGATAAATCTAACTTACACTTTCTTTCAAAACTATGTTAATGTTCAATAACACTACAGCTTATTTCAGAAATGGATATTGAAATAAAGTATGTTTTACTGTTAAAACTACATCTTGAGTGCATTTGACGTATTAATTCTTTGCAAAATGCACCAAAACTTAAACCATTTACAGAACCCAATTTCTCTTACCTGCAGTGAACAGTGATGGGACCTTCTTGACCGAACTGTTCTTTTGTCTTGTGTACTTGTCCAATGAATTCAATAAATCCTTCTCCTGATTTAGGCACACCCTGTTCTGGCCAATCAGTGAAATGAAACTGTCGGATTGTCCTAGACTGACCGTCCTAAAGTTTGATAAATATTTTAATATGGTAATTTTAAATTATCATATATTAAGGGATGTGCATTGGAAGGATTATGTGTATAGTATATTTTCTACTTGAATGACAGGTTAACAAAGCTTAAAGATTAATACATCTACTGTCAATCATAACTTGGTTTTTAAGATAAATTATACACAGTCAAAAATGTAAGTGGAATCAAAATAAACATTTTTTCCAATTAACCTTTGAATATTCATTATGACTGAAGCTAGTGAGTGATTAAAGTGCAAACCAAGTACCTGAATAAGAGTCTTTGCTTAACTGTTGAGATATACATGTAAGTAATAGCAAGCCAAATTACTTACTCGAGCATCTGTGACTTTAAACTCTCTTAAGATGTACTGTGGCATGTTATATTCTGTAATGGGGTCGACCACATAATATAAATACCGTTGGGAATGCTCACTAGGCCAGTACTGATGACACTTTTCCTGTAAAAAAAGAACAACAGAAAAAAAGGGGTATTTCAACAATAACTAAGCATAAGTTACTTGACCTTTGCAATAATAAGAGATTTGTTGAGCTAGTGTGGGAGAGGTGTAGTAAGTTGCTGCAGGTGGAATAAAAGAAACAAGACATTCTGTGAACACAGACAAAAATAAACACCTTATCAATGAAGAATAGGAATGAAGTTCAAAGTGACTGATTGTCTTAGTGGGAGGCTATTGCATTGTGTTATCTTAAGATAAAGAATAAATTATACTGTATTTAAAGAAAGAAAATGACATAAAATTACTTCAAAACAAACTGATCAACGGGATAAATATTAAAGATTAAGATGAGGTTAAGACTTCACCAGAAAGTCCTCTTTTAATTCTGATATGAATCAAGTTGAAAATGCCAAAATTGCTCTCACATTCCACATTTTCTGTGTAAATGACCAACCAGAAAACTGGATTACAATCAAGCCCCCAGAAGTATCTTTTATCTATGCAACAATAACAGAGCAGTCCTAAGTGCATAGTAATTTAGGACAAAATGCAATTGTCCCATGAAATAGTAAATAACTGAATAATGATACAGTAAGTAACACCTAGGGTTGAACTGACACAAGACTTATATTTAGCACGTTCCTAATTAGAACTTTATTAAAAACATTAATATATTGCAAAAAAAGAAAAACAATTTATACAAAGTGTCAGTGGCATTCAACATTTAAACAACAAACACTGATAATTTCTTCAAGAGAAACCATTTTGAAAGTGATAAAAAAAAATTGGTTATATCTATTCAATACTAAAGAAGATGCAATAAGCATTGTCCTTTAAAACTTACTTCTGTATTCCACAAACTGATTTACATTTTATACTGTTTTAATAGTGCAGAAATACAATTATTGCAACAAAGAGTGCTATACTGAGAACAATTTCTTTGCAATATTAGCATTGTCACTTAACAGTAACACAATGTAAGTTTTCTTTACCTCATTCTGAACAATGTAGCTGCAGAAAAGAGTTAACTACATGTCAGTTGAGGTGTTCTCTAAACTAATACTCATACAATTGAGTAATCCTCTTCTGTAGTACCAGTAGTATGTCTAACTATTAACACTGATAATATCCCTAGCACTGTCATATGCCTGTTCATTTACACTCATCTCTGTATTTATGTTTTGTTTTTATTATGAAACAATCCAACAATAAATTTTACTTCAATAAAACATCACAGTCAAAATGAATTGTTATAAATATAATAAAAAAATAAGCATCTCGAGCCATGGCTGACCAGCAGCCTTAAGCAAACCAGCCACAGTGTGTTTTCCATTTTATTTAACTTTTTTTTATAATATTTGTTTTGCATACTCCTATGTCTGTGGGTTTTGGAATCAATGTACTATATCATACCAACAACAAACAGTATTTACAACTGTTCTCCTTCACATCAGCCTTGCACTAAACTATAAGGAATGTGAGAATTGATGTCATCAGTGCTGAATAGTTTTGTCATTCAACTTTTTTATTTGGGATAGAATCCACTTTTCTCTTATTAACCACTAGTTTTATAAAACTTTATGGTAATTCAAATGGTTTGTACATAAGAAATGTATATGATATAAACCATAGATAATACCTCTGTGGCCTGATTAACAGGAAAGGAACCTACATTTGTATTATGAAGTTCTCTTGCTTCAGAATATGTGATGAGAGGTATGATGTTAAAGGTTCAAAAAACACAAAAGTTCTGATAAAATGCAGGATATCTGTTTTAGTAACTTATAGTATCAATAAAATCATGCAAGGTGGTAACAAAGACCACCAGTAGTTAAAAACAACTGACTATATAATGCATGGTTTTTTCAGTCGTGAATTATGAAATATCATTGATAATATAAATGTATATCTCAATGTGTATTTAATGTAAATATTAAATACAGATAAGCTTATAATTCTTAAAAACTCAAAAACTTTACCCGACCAACTTCTTTCAGTTTAGTCAGCATAACAACAATGTTAGAATTGTGTTCCCACAACATCCTCCAGAAGTCTTCAGTTGTTTCTGGCAGTGGACCTTGAGTAGCTATGTAAGCATTTCTGTACTTGTAGCCCTGAAAAGGACAAGGAAAACAGAATAAAATGTGTAAGAACACTCTGACATATAGGAAAATGGGAATTAACACAGTGAACAAAATATTTCAATAAAGAAAACATACACTTGAATGTTGCACATTTTTTATCATAAGCTTCCTAATATGTTTACATAATTCTTAGTTAATTTCTTATTGCATTACTTAAAAATTTCAGATTTATAAATATGTAATTTGGTAAAACTTTATTAAAAAGCTTTTGCTGCAGAGCCTCACAAAGATGTGAAGATTGATGTACGAAACAACTAAACTACAATTTTAAGGGTGAAGTAGAATAGAAACTTAGCATGCATCTAGGTTTACTATATTAGAAAATTTCCACATAGAAATACATTTTACCTCATAAGATATTTTTCTCTTTATCACATTTATTATTACATATAAATTATAGAATCAACCAAAATATAATGTATGGTTTTCATACAATTATAAAAAAAGCATCAACTTTAGTTCTAAAACATCAAAAATAAACAGTCACTGTTTTAATTTTTAGTAAGTAAAAAAAATGTTTATGTAGAATTTAATGTGCTCATTCTTCTTGGTATTCTAAATTTTTTCTTTTTACAAGAAAACCAACTTAGATTTTGTACAAAGCTCTTGATGAACTGATGAAATAAACATGATTATGTCAATGAATATTGTGATAAGAAGATGTAACATACAAACTGTATCAGCATAGCTGATAAAATAAAATACTTGCATCAGTAAAGCTTGCATTAATGTAATCTGATCCATCTACCCCACGGATAGGCTGGAGACAAACCCGGGAAGATTCGTCTTAAGGGCACATGAAAGAACAATTCAGTCAGTTAAAATATTGGACAACAAATTATTAGTTTTTTTAAAAGACATAAATCTAGTTAATACTTATAGGTTTTAAACTACCTTGTAACTATAAGGACTTACATTGGGTATATACTTGCATAATCTTTAATGAATTACCAGTTGTACTTATACTTTACTGTGACTTCCTCAACCAAAGTGGATGGCTCAAAGTTTATTATATCAAAGGAAATGCATTTCTTTAAATGAAGTTCTGATTTCTAATTACAATGAAAAAATCTAAAAAAAAAATAGAAGTAGATTATTCAAATACATTTATAAAACTTACATACTAAAAGATAAAGTTATATATATATATATATATATTGTTGGTCAACTTAATTCTGGAAACTAGTTCAACTTCAAGACGTATGTGCACTGATTTTTTTTTCTATTATATAAGAAAAGTTATATGCAAAATGCTCCTTTTAAAGAAATGTAAAAAGACTTATTTCAGTATAAAAGTAACATACCTGAAACCAAAACATTTTATCTTTTTAAATTTAGTTTTTCTGTTTTTTACAAAACTAAATTTATATGTCACGTACATTTTCAAAAATAGTCTTTTAAAATACTGCTTGCAGTAACCTAAATCTTGTAAGTCTGCAGCAATAAAAGACAGGTTGATTCTGCATTCTAATTTCTTACAACATTAGTTGTATTCTTACAACGAAAATTTTAATTTTAAAATGTCCCACTATAACTATTGGCTTTATTACACACAAATCATACAAATTAAACTCAAAAATAAGTTGTCTAAAATCTCATTTTTTTAAGTTAACTGAAATAAAGCAGAGAGAAAGTGAAAACCTGCATTATACAGACATAATATTGAGTAGTTTTCTATCTACGATCACATTTAGTAGACTTGAAATATGTTTTATCAATGCCCTGAAGAGTTGATTAAATAAAATGTGAGGGAATAAAGTTTTGTTTACACAACATTTAAAAGGGCATGATCTTCATTTAATATGTCAAAACCATTGCAGTTTGCAACAAAAAAATTGTAAGATTTTTTAAAATATGGGAAAGGTCCTACTCACAAGGCAAGATATTCATCAACCTATTTTTGAATTTGTTAACTGGAAGATTGGCACTAATAAACTTGGCAGAGGCACTCTTTATACTAGCCAGTCTCTGAAAAATAGAAATATATTAATTTACTTAAGTTAATTAAATTTAGTTAATAAGAAATAACTATAAATTTTAATTTAAATAGAAATTTCTAAGAGACTTTTTAACTTTTCTTCAAAAATTAGGGGAAAGTGCCCATTAATAAAGAGGTTGGTAAACTCCAATTCAAAGTTATGATTTTCCCATACTGAAAATGTATTTCTGATAGGTACTTACCTCCTCTCGCATAAATAGCTATATTCTCGTTTAGTGCTGCCCTCTATACACAAAAGTTTTTTTCGCATACCACAAGCCTTGAGCTCCCATGTAGCCCAATGTGGTTCAGCTGCTGCGTCTTGCATGCAAATGGTCATGTGACAACCCTCTACCAATAGGAGTGTGATGCACCCTCTATTCAATTCTATCAAACTATCACTTCAAGTATTGGCAGAAAATGGAAGCACCAATTTTCAGTGGGGAGGAAGAGTAGGAAGTGTGAAAGGAGGTAAGTACCTATTGGAAATGAATTTTTAGTGTTGGAAATTTATAATTTATGATACGGTACATTACCTCCTCTCACATAAATAGCTAGAATCCCGCATTGAATAGGTGGAGGGACCAGTGCGAGAGAAAGAAAGAAGCATGCTTCAAAAGCATCTGAAGGACATCCTAAAAGAGTAGATTCTCGCAGTACAGGATCATACATGGGAGATTGCACCACTTCTGTACCAGGTATGCTCTTTGCCCAGTATTGAAAGAGGTGTTGCAGACATGGGCAGAAATTGGGAGGAACAAATCCAAAATGGAGAGAACAATGAATGGATAGGGATCTGAACCATACAATATTGGAATCTCAATCCCATAGAGTATATCAATGTGGGTGAGAGTAAAAGGATGTGCCTCTAGGTGTAGAGTGGCTAGGGCACAATGGACCATACACGGCAAGTCAACTGCATCCAAAACTCAGCAACCTGGAACCGACATCTACACAGGGGTAGGACTGGAATCACACTGTCAGTAAGTCAATTACAATCCAAAACCCAGCCACTGGAAACCAACATTCATGTGGGGGTAGGAAAGAGGATCATATCTTCTTCACTTCAAGTTCAGCAGACAGAAGAGAATCTTGTATCTCCCAATCAGGAGGAAGCCTCCATGATCCACCACCCCTGCAGCTTGGAACTGGAAAGAGGTAAGGACTCCCATACTCCACTGGAAGAAAGAGGGGGAGAAAATGTGGTGGAGAGTCTGGAGGAATGTCAACACCAGAGACAGTGTAATAGGTGACTACAAAAACCCTATTTTCAAAAGCAGACCATACCTGATTATGCAATCGAAGGTATGACATGGATGGGCAGCTGTCCCCTTCTGTTTTATCCATGAAGTCTATGGGTGAGTACGGTCCGAAATGGG